AACTTCCCGAACTTTCATCTTCAAAGGAGAACCTATCAATGAAACTCTGGTCTTTGAAGGAGAGCCCCCCAATAGTTGATCCTTAAAGGAGAACCTATCAATGGAACTCTAGTCACTAGTCATTGAAGGATGAGCTTCTGGAACATTGGAACCTGCTGGATTTTCCCTCACCAGGCCAAGATTGCAGCTCTGGAGAAGATGCCTTCCCAGAGTGCTGTGGGAGCTTCCCAGTTGACGGCAAGAGGGTGGTCATGGTCTGTCAGGGTCATTGGAGGGTCTGAGATGTCCGGGTGTTTTCCTCCAGTTGTTCCATGGGGGTGTGGAACTTTAGCTGATCAGAACCTTGCTGAGATGGTAGCCCAAGAGGACTGGACCTTCTACACAAACAGCCAGCAACTCCTTATCACTCTGTTTGGTGCAGGTCCCTACTTACTATAATTATATACCAGGACTCTTGTGCGGCCACCAGGTTTATTTGCTGATCAACTTATGACATTATGAATTGTCACTGGCAGAGTGCGTGTATTGCTTGGAAGGCCACGTTCCTGTGAGGCATGTCCACAGGTCCAGATCCGGACCGTGGGAAGGTCGTCTCCTTCGCACACGTCTCCGTCCTTCGGTCAACACGGAACACACCCGTCTCGGCCGCACACGAGCCAGGTGTCTTCCATGAGCCAGCTTGCTGGGACTTGGCTTCTTTCCAGCCCCAAGGACGCCGTGGGACGCTTCAGAAAGCTTAGTGGCTTAGCTCGGCCTTCAAACCTAGCTTCCAGTACTTTGCTTTTTCCTTGTGTGTATGCTGAAAGCTAACGCAGCAGACTTTCTGGAGACATTTGCTTTGTTCACCTGCTGTAGTCCTGAAGTCCAGCCAGGAGAATGCACCAAAAGGGCCCTCACCTTAGAGGAGCGGAGAATGTCCCTCAGCCCCACCACCACAGAGAGGGAGAGAGCGTGCGCGAGAATGCCTGACGGTATTCAGACATATTCAGGTTAGGATGCTTCAACAGATGCTAGATGGCAGACTTTTTGCTTCTGTTCAGACAGAGGTGCTTTGATGTGGGCGGACTTAGGTTCTTGTCTGGCGACATTCCACGAATGGTGTTGAACCTGTACCAGGGAGACATTGGGAGGACTGAAGAGGTCCGTCTATATTGGTTTTGAATTTGGAGCATGATGTGCTGCACCGAAAGGACTTTACAACATTCACGTGTGGGCAAACTGACATGCTTGCACGTCTAACTTTGCAAATCTATTTCTCAGGATACAATAGCTTGTCGTGGCGTTCTGGCCTTGCTGAGATATTCCCAATCCATGGAATAATTTTGACACCTCCCACATCATTCAAAAGAAAGCATGTGAACAAAGTGGGGCTGGGAAAGAGTGTGTATAAGTGCAAGCGAGTATATCGCTTGTGTGCCGCGGCAGCTGCTGACCAGATAGAGTCGGAGTCAACCGGTGTAAGGGACAATTAACCATGTATGAGGACACCAGAGCCAACGCTAGCCAGTGACAAAGCTTGCAAGGATAATAGGGTTGTGTGCATGGCGAGCACCGAGTCGTCCTTGGTACCGTCTTGGAGATATGTGTCGTCACGTTCAAAAGAAGTTACTATGCTCAACTATGCTCAAGTATGTTCCAATGGCTTGTCACCCCGTTAGTTGGAGAAACAAAGCATAGTTTTCAGCTTCAGTAGCGAGTTTGGCCTCAAATAGGTTGAGAGCTGCAGAAGGTTGAAACAGCCTCACACGACCTCGTCTATCATCCTCCACGCCAGTGCACACCAAAGAGGGGTTCGGTAAGCACAACCTTTCACCGCTGTACCAACAAGAGCCTGAACCCTAGCAGGAACCACTTCCCACGCAAAAAGCAGGTGCCCGCATCTTATGGAAGCAGTCTTGAACGTCGCTCAACCCAGTTGAGACAGCTGTCAAAAACCTGGACTGCCCCAACACTCATGCGCAACCTCCATTCTGCCAAGTCGCTCTGCTGTTGGCAAATCCACACCAGCAGCGTCTCGAAAGATTTCGTTGGTCGGCCTGGAGTCGGTAGTGAGCCTCAGTTTGTTTTGTCCGGTTCGACTTCCTGACAGAGAAGACTCCCACTCTGGTCAAGGGCTTCAAGGTGTAGATAAAGTAGCCCATGTTCATCAAAGTCTACCCAAAGCGGTCTTACATCGTTTTGACTCCCATCTCCAGTACCATCGCCTGCGTCCGCTGCAAGCCGCACTAAGTCTTCCATGGCTGGCTGCACCTTTGGAAGCGTTCTTTGGTGGGCCACCACTCAGAGAGACTAAGTGGTGGATTGGATCAGCCCGGGTTTGATTGCCTATGGTTTTACTGTAGATGTTTTAGCATACAAACTTAAAAAAACACACACACAGTTTAGAATCAAACATATAACCACTTACAGAAAATCAACAAACAAGATAATAACACAATTTACCATCATAAAGTTGTGCTTTGCTTTTAAAACTGTGTTTTCTTTTTTTCCCAGTGATCCCTTGATACGCTGGGTCTCGCAGCCGGTTCCTTTTCTGCGCGCTTACCACGCGATTGATCACGTGTGATAAGAACAACTTCAAATCTTCAGAAATCTTTGAGACCCCAAGAGCCTGCAGAATACTCTTCAATTTCATGTCAGGGCGACGTTCACCGCGCGACTATTTTCCTTTGTTTTTGGATTTATGTAACTTTTTTACATATTGTTTCATGTTTCTTGAGATTTTCAGCCTGGCAAACTATTTTGTAACTCCGAACCGTTTTCAAGTTCACCCGGTCGTGAGATGTTTGGAAAGATTGCAAGGTTTTATGATCTTGCAGATTTAAAAATATATTGAACGTTTCAAACTGTTTCTGAAGATTCCAAAAGATGTTCTTTTATATAGTTATTTTCCTTCTGCACCACCACTTAGCGGCAGTGAGCCACGGCCCTTTTTTGGGAACAGTTGTTTGTTGTTGCCTTCTGACAAAAGTACCACTGAAAGAATCATTGAGTTGCTTGCGGTTGCCTTCATGGTCAACAATGTGCGAGGGCAGTTTTGGTTCCGATTCAACCCAGTGGCTCTCTGAATCTGCAGGCAAGAGCTCTCAACCTTCTTGGAAGACTCAATTCACCCTTCAAGCCTCGCAACCTCTTAAAACTCCTTCAAACCTATGCCTTCTATGTACAAGTCTTGTTCAGGGGTGTGCAAAACAACCTGCACTCCACCAAGCCCAAGACCTCAAAAGAACCTGGCTTCCACTAGAAAGATGTTTGTAGTATCCCGCAGGTCTAGCTTCCCTGATGTCACGGGTCCGTCTCCAAACGCCCGAGCAAAAACCCAGTCCAGAGCAGCGGCGAGGGAGCCCTTGCTGTGCTGATCTCTCAACAGAACTGCCAAGATCTCGACCGCCAGGGCCCCCCGGAACCGCATTGTTTGCGCAGCTTGTCGGCTGACACCATGCCCCGCCGTCCCCAGGGCTGTTTATGGCAAGTCCAGGCAGTCAAAACAACACAACCGGCACCTCTTGAAAACGTCCAAACGCAGTTGCAGATCCAACCGATGCACCCTTTGATAAATAATCCGTTAACAAGTCTTTCAGGGTATACAATAATGGCAAGCCGGCTTTTCAATTCTTCATGACTGGGCCCAAACAGTTCCTTCCTGAACACGGTGTCCGAACAAGTGCCCGAAGTGCCCTGCAGGATGCTCAGTATGAAACTGCAGTCCGAACCCACAGTGCGCATTGCTGCTTCTGGGGACACCTCGACCGTGACCAAGTTGAGGCAGGCGGATCGGTCGGCCTGACGGATCTACGTCGGAAGATGTCGGAAGAACAGTGGACATCGGTGGTCGCTGCGAGTATAGACGATCGACCCAGTGTGTGGGTCGGTCGGTGTGTGTATTTGAAGAGAACTCATGGAAACTCCCAACATCTACCAACCAATGGATAGACACGTCTATGTGCAATTTTCCCTTCTTCCAGGGTCTTTGGGAGCTCTTCCTGTTTTGATACAGACTCATGTTTTCCACGTTGCTTGCTCCATGACAGACACTCACTGATACTCAAGTATGATGCTGTCGGCCACCAGCACGACTGAGCCGCCAGTCACAATCGGTCGCCGAACCTCGGCGCTTGGCCTCCGAAGACGCCGTTTCGGTTGGTCGGTTTGGGGCGATGTGCTCAATGATAGGATGAGGACTGTCCAATGGTTGGACAAATCCACACAAATCCATCGAGGTTTGTCATTTGACCACATTTGCTTTGAACTGATCTGGGATAATTTTGTCTCATTCGTCTCCTTCCCTCCCTTCCAAACAGCCATCCCATTGGCCATTCCGGCACGCGATTTCACAGCGCACCACGCGAGGTGGGGAAGGCAGGAAGATGACATCACCTTGTTGGGGCAGCTGGAATTGGTTGCTCCCAACATCCTTCGTGAGGCCTGGAGAAATGCTGCGGTGTGCAAGCCATGCCCACGCCGAGCACATTGATTCTGTTCTTGTTACTGTTCCTGTTCTTAGTATAAACATATATACATATATACATTTCAAAGTAGAGGTTCCATAAAGTTCCTGTTCTTGTTGGTCCTGAGTCCTGAGTCTTTTTTATTTGCATCCCTTTTCATCCCAATCATTTTTGGCCTTCCGAATGCGTGGCCAGAAGCCGAAGTCCACACGATCGAAAGTATTGAAGCTCACATGGTGTGGATGCCTGTGAAGCTCACCCGACCGGCGGCGCAGAGTGATGGAATTGGGTGTGGAATAAAGAGGTCCAAGAAAGTGTGAAGCGAAAGCCATAGTCTCTGATTTCAGAACCGTTTAAGGAGTTTTCTGCGATGGGAGGGTGCCATGGAATGGGATCCAATGGGATGTGCCTTTTGGCCTTTTGGGAGATCCGCCCTTAGCCACATCACAGTTGTTGGTATCTATGATCCCAGATCATATTTACACATCCAAAACAACTGCAGCAATGTTGTTGGTTGATATCCAGCATCAACCAAACCACAACACTTAGTTGGAATGCAGTTCTCATGTTGGTATGCAGTTCAAATGTTAGTTTGTTGGTTGGTGATATATCCAAAAGACCTTGAACTGCAGCAATGATCTGGCGCTTCCCCAAGGCCCGCCATGCAGAAGCAAAGGGTGCTGAACGTGACGTGAGCCAGTGGGAGGACAGATGCGGGGTCATTTTCTAAAATCGGTGGGCTTCAGGGGGCCTGCACAACCCGCATAAAGCATCAGCAGGAGCTGACAGTTAGACATTGCAAGCCCGCTTTTTCAATTTGTGTATCTCTCGTAAACTTTCACACCTGTCACTTGCCCTTCTTCAGCAGGCATGAAAGTTTTCAGCAAATGACACAAATCTGTCAAAGAACTTGACTCATCCTTTCTTTCGCCTTTAGTTGCGAAGTGTTGCGTGTGCGACTCGCATTTGCATTTTTCTGGAGCCCATAATTGCCACATCTAGCCAGACTTGACACCAGCGGTCAGGTATTTCGATGAGAATCTCATCATCTTCCGCGATGAGCGCGGCATCGTGGACGTGCTGCAGCGCAAGGAGACGGAGACGACGTGGTCGAGACAGGCGAAGCCTTCCTTCAGTGTGTGGGAGGTGGTGTAAGTGCAAGGAAGGGAGTTTGAGACGGCCATTTGAAGGCTGTTTAGCGTAGCCATTTGCGGCCCAATTCTTGAAACGTAGCCAACTCATTAGCTAACTCGTCTTGACAAGCCAAGGATGTGCCAGCTCTGGCCGGATGAAAAAGTTGTCAGTTCGCATTGGGGGGTGAACCCATCAACTGTCCCTTTTCCAAGGCTCTCGTGTCTCGTGTTGCTTGCCCGGTCATCGTATCAGTAATTGAACGTGTGGGGCATACCACCTTCAGTTGAAAGGAGGATGAAAGTCCTTTGTCGCATTACAGCGAACCAACATGTTTGTCCTTTGCAGGCACACCTCCACTGGGTTTTGAGACAAGCATGATCAAACAAGTATCACAGCTGTTTCAACATGTTTAAGCTTCTTCACGGAAACATTATGAACCATTCAATCATTTTGCCATCGGCTTTCTCTCCCTCAAGCTCAAGATAGACATGTACAAAGCTCTCTTGAAAGATGTTCCTTCAGACTCTCCATTCAGGGGTGTTGAGTTACCTTCCAGTGGGTCTTCGCTGATATTCTCAACCCTGTGACACCCGAGCAATGCTTGGTCACCTCCCAGGAGCCTGTGCCGCGCATGGGCCAGCCAGGCAGGATCTGATGAGAACCAGCGACCACTGGAGTCACGATGATCAACTCAGGGAGCCAAGTCAGCAAGTAATGGTACTTGATTGGTCAAAACCTCCGAGCAAACGATTGAGGGAGACTCAATAGTATGATCCCTTCAATGCAATTCCCAGAGTTTGGCCTTCTGTGGTACAAGGAGGAGTACTAGCACTAGTAGTAGTGGTACTAGTAGTAGTGGTAGTGTTAGTGTTAGTGGTAGTGGTAGTGGTGGTGGTGGCGGCGGCAGCAGCAGCAGCAGTAGCAGTAGAAGTAGCAGTAGTAGCAGCAGCAGTAGTAGCAGTAGTAGCAGTAGTAGCAGTAGCAGCAGTAGCAGCAGTAGCAGCAGTAGCAGCAGTAGCAGTAGTAGCAGGAGCAGCAGGAGCAGCAGGAGCAGCAGGAGCAGCAGGAGCAGGAGGAGCAGGAGGAGCAGCAGCAGCAGTAGCAGTAGCAGTGGTAGCAGCAGTGGTAGCAGCAGTGGTAGCAGCAGTAGTAGTAGCAGTAGTAGTAGTAGCAGTAGTAGTAGTAGTAGCAGCAGCCAACGGCATGAAAACCGTACGTGTAGGCGTGCGCATTTTACCAGCGCGGGCATGATAGCATGCATGTTGGGACCAACATCATGACCGTCTATAGGTTTTCATTTTCATTCTAAAATACAGCAATTTTTTTGACTATTTTCATGGCAACACCGTACGTTCTTCTACCACATATTATATACTTCTCAGTTTCGCTTAGAATGTCTACCAAACAGTCGCCAGACGGCCCAAACACTTAGTGGTGTTTTCGTTACCCATTTGCGTGCGCAGGACGTTGGTTCATATTGATAAAGCACAAAACACACGTGCGCAGTCGTCCTGACCCAAGAAGTTTGAAACACTGCATCTTCCATCCCTATTGGACAAATAATGAACATGTCATGCGAAATTGCTTGCTAACCAACGAACGCGTTCGTTGATAAAAATGGTCCACCCTTCCACTCCGGAGCCAGGTGGGCCAGTCATGCAGGATGAGGAGCCGAGGCGAAGACAAATTCAGACCCTCTCAGAATATATGAGTTGTATTGAGTTTGTTGATTTCACCTCCGAGGTTCTGATGATATTGTCCTCTCGCGACATGTGTTTTGTTTTCCCTTGGCGCGGTGATATAGAGGTTCATGTGTTTTAACTGTAAGAAACACATGTTCAGTTCGGTCCTGTGCGTTTGGATGCGCCACATGAACCGGACAGCTTAGCCCCCGATTGGACAAACAAACCTCAAACACTTGGCGTCCCTTGCCTGCATGAACATCTCAACCCGTGGCACACTTCCGCCAATGCATCCTTTGCGGATCTTCGCCGGAAACAATGTGAGAGAAACCAATAGAAGCGATGGTCTCCAACCCAATAGCCATGGCCTCCAACCTAATAGCGATGGCCTCCAAACTACTAGCGATGGCCTCCAATCTAAAAGCAATGCTTCAATGCTTGGTCTTCTCCAATTCAGTCAGACGTGTGAAGGACAATATCCCGTCTGGTGGAAAACGCTCGGTCCAAAGTGCCTTCAGTTCCCCAATCTCCAGGAGGCAATCCATGTCCTGAGAGGTGATAATGCCTTGGCCAGGTGTTCTTCTTTTCACCAACAAGAAACATAGACAATCATCCCAGGTACATCCATGCAGGTGCCAGGTACCATCTGGTGCTACCTCCTTGCAAAGTCATAAAGAACCCACAGGGCCACAGACATCCCCCAGAAAATGAATACTGGCAGAGACACCAGAAGATGCCACTTTTGGGGATGCGAGATCAGGATCCACCTGTGACTCTGGTGTGTCTGGAACGGGAGAGAAATGAGTTGGAGC